CATGCGGGAGATCCATGGTTCTCAGAATGGCTTCAGTCACTGGATCGACTGGACACCCAGATCCTGGTTGCCCATCCTGAACTTTGTCATCGACTGGTCAAGAAATGCCTCTTCTGCCAGACTTGGCCTGCGAACCTGAACGGTCACCTAGCTTCACACCACAAGGACTTGTGGACGAAGGCGGAGCCCCTGGAAGAGATTTGTGCTGAGCGCTTCCTGGCTGCTGCGCCGGCAACGAGATGGTGCGCCTGCCAACCCTACCAGAGGTTGGCGGAAGATGAGCGGGAGAATCATTCCTGCACGTGCCTTAGGCAATTTTCCTGCCTTCATTTGCTTTTGAGGTCCATGCAACCGCAACAGGCCCAAACGACCACCCTGGCCATGTTGCTGGACACTCACTTTGGTTGAAGGTCCTACGGGACTGGCGGACTGGCTAAGACGCCAAGGGTCCACGCGATCACCTCCGGTGAGTGTTGAGAAAGAAAGATGATGATGATGATGGCGATGATGATGATGATGATGATGATGATGGCGATGATGATGATAATGATGATGATGATGGCGATGATGATGGCGATGATGATGATGATGACGACGATGATGATGATGATGGCGATGATGATGATGATGATGGCGATGATGATGATGATGATGATGATGATGATGATGATGCCGATGCCATTTGCACTCAGATCTTTGATGGAGAACATGGTTGTTTATTCGAGAGGAACTCCACCTTAATATTCAACATCCGTGCAGACTTCTGATTCATAGAGTCATACAAGATCACACAAGTGTGCAAGATCGCCCCGCAGCCATGCTTCAGGACCAGGCTGTCTGCAGGTAGATAAGACCACGTTGCTTACCCCGTTGGGTGGATCAGGAATCCCCAAACAAACATATATATAATCGGGTTTGTCCCAGCAAACCAGTCAGTCAGTAAACAATTATTACATATTATCACTGTTTTTAGAGAGAGACATTTACTTACGACTTACGATCATCATCCACTGTTACTGGTAATTGGATAGACCCAAGATATATAACTTAAGTATACCCTCCCTCCAACGATTGTGGAAGCTGACCATGACACCCTTCTACAGGATAATGGTCCTCAGTGGCCTGCGTTCCACTTCCATGATTGGTTTAGGGAGTGTTTTGACCTCCCCGATGGTAGGAACAAAAAAAGGATCCTCGTTTCTCAGACGGCGAGGTCGATCCAAATGCTTCGGAAAGTGGACATGAACCACGATACGGATCCCCGTTCCGTCTCGAGACTTCGTCGTCCCATCGCCTTACTGGTAAGGCATCATGACTGCAGCATCGATGGTGGTCCTGGTCATCAACTTGCTATTGCAGTATGCTGCCTGGCCTGAGAGCTTGCTTTGGTTTCATCAGATGATTTTGGGGGGTCTCCAGCCTTCCAGGGCAGCGCGTTTTTCGGGCGGAAAGCAGCAGCCCTGACTTAGCCAGTCATGACTGGGCAACCAAAATTGAACCTTTTTTGGGGAGATTTGCTGTCCCACTGTAACAATTGAGCAGGTGGAAGAAGGTGAACCTCCATTTTTCTGGCATGCCACACTTGCCACACTTTGAGCACACAGGCCTCACAGATGTTTTAGCAGCTCTCAGAAGACCCGCAACGCCTGGTCCGGGTAGTCTATCAATCATTTGGGAGCCCCGGATGGAAGTGCCGCCGACGCTTTTCTCCCAGGTCCTCATCGCAATGGCTCGCTTCGAACGACCCTTGTCGAATACCGCGCTGAACCAGTCGATGATGCAGAGCCTCGGCGATGGGGGACATCGTCCATCGTGTCAGACCACCGGAATTCTGGAACACCCAGTTCAAGAGGTGCAATGTCAAGTAGACCCAACTTCAACACCTTATTGCCTTATTGTTTGGGGACTTCCCTTCAAACATGCGCACCCATAGACTGAAAAAGACTTTGGGGGTGTGGAGATTGAGCAGATGGCAAGCGGAGATGGGTTAGTAAGAAATGTCAACCAAAAAGAATGTCCATGGCGTCACTTTCCCCATTTTCCACTATCACTAGACCAAGGGAGGGGCTGGTGACAGGAGATATGGCGAGATGATATGACATATTGTAAGGCTGCCGGGTGGACATCTTTCGATAGCTTGCAGTGACAGTTGCAGTGACCTATTCGGTACGGAGTCGTCCTGAATCATGTATAACTTATAACATCTTATAACGTAGAAATACGTTTATGCAGATGGGGAAATCGTTGGAACAAGCCGCATCACAGGTATGAATTTCATCGAATTTGTATACTCCTCTCAAACCAATCACATGCACACCATAATCATTCACATATTTTTTTCCCCAGGATCATCCAATGGGTGTCCAATAGACTACCCTACCCTACTTACAGGTCTCCATTGGGCACCCGTTGGAAGTGCTAGGTATATGATCGTTGATTGTTTGTGTTTGCTTTCATTTTGCGGGGTTCTCCCCAGCTTTCTTGGACTGTAGTGGTGAAAGTGCGGACGATTCTCGTCTCGCCGCCCCTATCCTTTCTTTATAGAATACATGTAAGTTTGATGGCACAACATGTTGTATAAAGAAAGGATAGGAACCGCCTATTTTGTTGTAAAAATTGGATCTGTTACATTCTTTGGATGCGGGGCTATCAGATTCGTCATGTGCCGACGCTCAGGAAGATCTTCTTGGCGCAGACCATCAACACAGGTGGGAGGAGAAGCGGAATCATAGAGGAAACAGTGGATCACTGTTACATTGATTCATTTATGGGTGCAATTGAATAGGGGGACGCCAACCCATGGGTTTTGCTCTATTTCCTTCTTCCAGAGGTTCTTTGGGAGGTCTCTCTATTTTAATACACCCTCACATGGGTCTTAAAATGTTTTAAACCATTACATCTCCACAAGGGCCCCAAGATTTGAAGCAATTATCGATGCATCCCGATGCATGGTATACCTAGCCGGCACAGTCCGAGGAGCCGGCATTACCCGGGCTCCGTTTTGGCTTGCTTGTTTGTATGTCAAGACGGTTTCACCATGTTTCACCCAGATGAATTCATGGATCAATTCCGCTGATGCATCGGGTGGAGGGGGATGTTGATAAAATCATAGTCCTGTTGGTGCGCTCGTCTTTGGTCCTTCATGTGTCGCTTTGCACAGGCTTTGTGCTCTTCATGGTGAACACCTATGGGCCTCAAGTTGCGAACCTCGACTGTGTAGAGATGTTGGAGTCAGACCAGGTCAGCTGCAGGAACTCCTGGAAGGGATGTAAAAAGCTCGACAACATCAACAGTCCCAGGCAACCCAACCTACCGAACCAAGCTGACTCTTGGCCTGGCGCAGGTTGCTTAGGTTGCTTGTGTCATAGAAATGCCCGTGTTGTTCGTTGGCTCTACCCTTGGTCAGACCCCATCCGTCCCCCATCCGTCCCCCAGCCGACCCCGCGGACCGTGCTGAAGCTGGCTGTGTCTGCGCAGCGTTTGAGTCCAAGACCCGACATAACATGGGAGAAACGAACATGGCCCCAGCAAGCGCTATAGGTATTGATGCATATATAGCACACACAGAATGATGTCTATATATATATATTCTTGTCTAGTATGTAGTTAAGTTGTACATATATATATATATATATAATCATAGACATAGCTCTCTCGGATAAGAGACCTCAGTGTAACGCAAAAAGCACTCCTGGAGTACTAAAGTCTCATCGAACATTTCGAGCAGCCATGAGTGCTACCTAACATGATAAATCCTGGCTTCGATGACCCGAGCAATCCGGGGACTCCTTCAGAGTTTGCTCAGCATAGACCCCTTTTTGGACCCTAGAGGTCAGGAACTGATCTCGACTCAATGAGGTCTTTAGGACCCAGTTTTACCTGTAAACCTGTCCTAAAAGGTGCGCGTTCGCCCTGTACTCAATGAGGTCCTAAACTCAATGAGGTCTTTGCACCTGTACGGAAAGCTGTGCGTTCGCCCTGTTTGCACCTGTGGACGCTCCGGGACGGGTGGGGTGTTCACCCGAACGACAACTGAGCGACCGACCGTGGAGGTGTCGAGGTCGTGGGACGAATTGGAGGAATGGCATCGCTTCGATCGAGCGAGGTTGGCTGCTTCCAGAAAACATGTGTTAATGATTCATGATTAGATGTTAGGTGTTCCAGTGCTTGGGAAGCTTCACCAGTCACCAAACATTCAAGAGTTCACAGTGTAGGTCTGAACGCCACGGGCGCGGGGACCGACCCCCTGTGTCAGCGACTGTCAGAACGCACCGTGTCAGCGACTGTCCGTAGCGTCCCGTGCCGCGTGCCGCGACCGGTGGGGTCAGCCATGGCAGATGTGGACAAACTTGCGGCGAAGCCACAACTTGCTTCAAGACTTGGGACGGCCACTGGGAGTTCTCACAGCGCGCGCGCGCGGAACAGCGCGGAACATCCGCGCGGAAGCGCGCAGCGGCTTTGACGAGTGATGTGTGACGGTGGTAAAGAGCGTAAGGAGGTCGTTCTTTTGGCAACTTGAAGACTCGGCCAACCGTCACTCGCCGACAAATCCTGGTGAATGATATTCGATAAAAACACCGGACGGACGCTGCGATACCCTTAAGGTGATCCGGCAAACCCACTTGTTACAAACATGACATGGCAGATGGTTTGCCCCTTGCGAAACGATTCCATCAAATGAACCATATAATATGCAGACTCAGGGCATAGCACAGTTCCTCAGGGTCCGGCCATCCGGGATATGTTATGCACATGTTTTCCTGTTTAATGTTTGTTGGCTGTGATGGGTATCCAACCTTTGTCTAGCTCGGACTTGCTAGGAGCAACGGGAGCTGTTGGTAAAGGAACATCAGCAACCAAAGCATCATCCTCCACTTGGGCCCTGCTAATGGGATATGCCCGAGATCAATCTGCCATGTTTGGGCCAATCTTCTACAATTTAAAACGTAATTAAGCCAATGCTGCACAGTCCAGATCTTTCATCGGCCAAGGAAGTTCGTCCAGGGGTGGGTGGCGGAGGTTCACCAGCCCTGATCCAAGGAAGAAGCTTTGGCAAGAAGCAGTTCAGCTTTTGAAAGCTCCTTAGCCGGAACTGGCCGGAACTTCCCCATGGAATGGAATGGTCTAGATCTAATTACATCATATTAATCCTGTCCACCTATTGAGAACACGGGGTCCCCCCCCACAAGGAAACGTCGGTCGCATGTGTTTAAATAGGGGGTCCCTGAAATCGTGGTGGTCCAAAATAGGGTCAGCTGGGAAGGGCTTCAAAACCAAAAAGTAACCCAGGATTTTTAAATATAAAATCCTTTGTTGAACTCGTATCAACAATTCAATAAACCTCCAGATCGAAGGGTCTTCCTTTTCCCCTACAAAAAAGTTTATTAGAATAGTGATTCTTCATTAGACTAACAACTAAATCTTTCGAAAAGGTGATGTCGCTGTGCCATACGGTTTTGCGTGACCTCGGTGGAAAGTGCGTTTGCGTGAGTCCGTGTCATTGGGGGAAGGAAAGCCTGCAGGTGTAAACACGGCAGTTACTTTTCTTTTTGGAACCAAATATTTAAAAAAGCTTCCCCAACATCGGCCATGTTGGTAGTCTAGTAGCGGCTTGAAAGGGCGGTATAGTTTAAAAACGATTATAAGCCGTAGTTAGGGGTTTCCGACATGACTTTGTTTTAATAGGGGTCCGTCTTTAAATGTGTACTTGGGCTGGGCTTATATATATATATATATACGCACCCAGGGATCGAGGCGTACCTTCTCAGAAGGTGATTAGAGACTTGTGTAGGTTTGGAGGGTCCAGTCGCTTCTGAGAAGGTACTTGGATCTCTAGGGCCTTAGGGATATATGTATATATTCAACCATCTAACACAGTTTAAATATTTGCCAGGAAAAGGCTCCCATGGGTGACCCCGTGTATTCGATCCCAAGTTCTTTGTCACAAAGTTCAGCCACAAATAACGGGATGGCTCGGTTGCATTTCCAGTTTTCCGCGATGTGGTGCCGCATGCCGAGGACTTGGGTTCTGCCCGCGATGCAATTGCAATCAACTGCACAATCAGTGCCTGTGGTGCCGCTTTGCGCTGGGAGCAGGCTAGGCCAGCTAGGTATGCTGTTCAGGTGGAATTGCCACCCGCGTCAGTGCCAAAAGAAACTCGAACACCCGAGGGTCCTGAAATGTCCTGAAGGCAAAAATGGCCGTCCTGGGTTCGGAGGGGGCACGCTGAAGCTTCGGTTGTCATCGTATGATCCTTTTAAACTGACCATGGGAACTGGACAAGGTCTCGTAGTAGCTGCAGTTATTATGGAAATGGCGCTCCAGTGGGGAGTGTAGGAGAACTTGTTCATTAACAACATTTGTGGCACATTCACTCAATGATTTACAAGGTCATGCTAACCCATGCTAGCTGCTAGCCCCATTGAATACTATTTAGTTTCTGATCTAGTGCCACGTCACGACTTCAGAGAATGTGCAGGCTGAAAGTGTTCCAGACCTTGGATAGAACTGGAGCTGCGATGGTCAACTTAAATATGGAGAAATGCGTTTTAGGCTATATGTGGATGTCACGCCACACATTAACATCAGATTTTTCAACCAGCACCTTTCCAAGTCTGTTTTGGACTCTACATCGTCTATCAGTGGAAAAGCGTCACCCCTTCAAATCCTTCGGACATGGTCGCAGACCACCCGCGAAAGACCGCGGAAAAGGACAGGAAAAACGCGGTTTCACCTGGAACACGTCACCCGTCATCCCGTCGCCCTCTTTTCGCAAAACCAAATGCCTGTGGCTTTTCCCGGGCGTTCCTTGCACCGGGGCGCGCCAGGCCTTGGTCCTTTTGCCCAGTGATCCGATCGGCGCCTCTGCGGTCTTGAGCGCGTGCGGCCGCGCCCAGCAGTGGCAGAGGGCGCTGGCAGTGCTGACCGCCGGAGAGGCTCACGCCGATGCGGCATGGACGCACCGAAAGGAAACGCAGCCGAACTCCCGCCGGACGTTCCTGCAGCCCAAAAACGTCCGGATGGCGTCTGGATGGGGTTGAGAGGGGGGTCATGTTCTACCCAGTGAAGGGCATGCAAGCACCAAAGATCGTTATGACGATGTCCTTCTTAGTCAGCTTGTGGACGATGTGTCATTATGTGATGTTCATGATTCCAGTGGATTATAGGCTCGGCAAAGACAGGTACGGTACTGTCCATTTGGATCGGCGTTTTTGGGTTTGTGCGTTTGGCGTGCAACCCTTGCAGCAAGCACCAAGCACACCACATTTTTAGAGGTCCTGTGCCCATTTCAGAGGTCCCATGCAAACGGGAGGAGCCCCAGCTAAAGCTTGGCGTCGATGTGTTGTACCGTACCTCACAGGTACTCAGGTACCCTCAAACACGACTTTTTCAACCTGTTCTCCAAGCTGTGGCATTTGTTGGGGCCGAGTTTTCTGACCAAGATCAACCTGAGCACCCTGCACGACTGGAAGCTGTCAAACCAGGATGTTTGCAGGTTTAGGAGGTGAGGAGTTGCTGACGCATGCTGAAGCACGTTGGCGTTTGTATCCTCCTTGGAATTTCCTCTACAAAATCATGGGGGTTGGGTGTGTCAAGCGCCTAATTTTTGTACAGCTAACATCTGACTTGTTTAGGGTATGCAGGCCAAGGATGCTTTGTAAAGAATTGATCTGAGTTTGGAGGGGTAGGTGAGGCAATTGATTCTGTAGAATCAGAGATGGTTTAGATAAGCCACTGTTCAATCTGGCTTTTGCAAGTAGGGGGGATGATTATGAGATTTTACCTGAGGGTATTGATTTTGAAAAGACATCGTTTGAGCGTAGCTGCACAGACATGCTCAAGCTATCTCAAGCTTATGGAATCAATATCTCAAGCTTAGGAAGAAACATGAAGAAACAATAAGAAACACATATTACCATATATTAAAGGGTATGTTGGGAAAATTATTCTGTACAAAGCATGTTGTTTTGCATGTCAAGGATGCAATTTTGTAAACCTGTTTCTTCTCAGAAATGTGTTCGGGGCTGCCCTGGGTCTCTAGATTTCGTAGTAAGTTTTGATGTGTTTCTCGACATCAGTGTATTGATTCTGTAGTTTTGGTTGGTTAGGGGTCTTGATCTTGTAGTGAGGTTTGAGACCAGGACATTGATATTGTAAACAGTTGTTTTCACAATCAATCACCCCTGCCACGAGCCGGTATCCCAAAAAGGATGCGTTTGTTATGTATTGTTATCTTATGTTTGTTTTTGTTTGATTGTTGGTTCAGGATTTTACTGCATAAATCTACACGGGGGTCGAGGCCTGTTCTTCGGAGGAATATGGATCTGCAGCCCCTGGTGACTGTGGGCGTGGGTTAGGGAATGGATGGAGTATTGTTCAGCAACTACTCTGCGTTCAGCAACTTGGTTTCAGAAGCTATTTTGTCGGCCTCAGCAACTGCGGTTCAGCAACTCCCTGCGTTCAGCACCTGCAGTTCAGCAACTGGATTTGTTGGTTTCAGCCACTGGTTTTTGTCGGTCTAAGCAACTGGCTCTGTCGGTTTCAGAAACGGGTTCTGTCGGT